TTTTTTTGCAGAACCAGGGATTGAACTCAGGCACTTGCACTTGCCAGGCAAGCACTTAATTCTACTGAGCCATCTCCCTGGCCCTGAGCTTTGTGTTTTAAAAAGGAATCTTGCAAAATTGCCCATATTGGACAATTTTATGTATGTATGTATGTATGTATGTATGTATGTATGTATGTGAAAGAAAAGGTACTTATGTTTATGTTTTTGTGTGGTACCAGGGATTGAATTCAGGAACCTGTGCTTGCCAGGCAAGTGCTTATTCTACTGAGCTACCTCCCCATACCCCATATTGGGCAATTGATTTTTTTTTTAATCCTCTTACCTCAGCCTCCCAGCTTCCCTGGGATTACAGGACCACACTACTGTGCCCAGCTAGAGCTTGCTTTTTTTGGGGGGGAGGGGCGGGGGGAACCTGGGATTGAACGCAGGTCCTTGCACTTGCCAGTCAAGCACTTATTCTACTGAGAAGTGCTTATTCCACCTAGTCATCTCCCTGGCCCCATGCATTCTTGAACTCTCCCTCAAATATCTCCTAATCACAGTGACATGGGTATGTGTCTCTCCTTTGAGTTTTGGTAATGGCTCCTACAGGGTATTTGTAAAACTTCTGGCATGACCAGAAGGTAGCCCTTGTTAAATGATAGATTAATAGTGCTTTTGGTGTACTTCTTATTGGTTCTGTAAGTACAGCTCCCTCAAGAGATATGATGAGTTCTCTCTGGCTATCTAGGTTTTACCCCTTAACAATGGTCTTAGGGCCAGGAGTGTACATATCCAGAGGCCAATATATTAATCAACATTACCTGGTGCTCTGCAGTGTGTATGGGACATTATTTCTAGAACTCCTATGTCCCCTCCAAGGCTAGAGAAGAAGGAGAGAGAGAAGGCCCTCGTTCCTGTCATCTCTAGAGAATGTAGATTAGAAACATTTTTGTGTTTGGAAGTAAACTTGAGCTTAAGAAAACAAACACAAGAGGGAGAACTGTCAGTTGGGAGATGTGGCAACTGCGTGGAGGGTAATAGTAGTGAGTAC